CACCTCCTGCAACCCTCTGCCAGCGAAAACTCAGGGGGGACGTGTGGTCCTTGCTCCATTTTTTGCTGTGACCGCCTCCTACAACCCTCTGCCAGCGAAAACTCAGGGGGAACGTGTGGCCCTTACAAGCTCCATTTTTTGCTGCGACCGCTTTCTGCAACCCTCTGCCAGCGAAAGCTACCTCCGGGGCCATGCTCTGCCCACGTGAACTCCGTTTTTGCTGGGAGAGGCACCCCAGGCTGGTCCTTCGCTTTATCCAGAGCAGCCCCGCAGGCCAGATCTAAGTACCCTGCAGGCCGGATGCAGGCCTTGAGTTTGACACCCCTGCTTTTAACCATTATTTCTTGAAAGCTGACCTTAACTTGCTACGTTTTTATTCTTTAATGCAGGGGTGTCCAACCTTGGCAACCTCAGCTTTGCTGGCTGAGGAATTCTGGGAGTTGAAGTCCACAAGTCTTAAAGTTGCCAAGGTTGGACACCCCTGCTTTAATGTAACTGACCAGTAGATCTTTGCACTGCTTCCGTGTAACTCCCTATGTTAATCTTTGGGCTACACATGATGTTAGATAGCATTATGGGAACTCCATTAGAAATCTTCTTGAACCTACATCCCACTAATTGTAGTGTCAAAGCCTTAAGAATTTATTAATTCGACGGGTCCAGAACAATTCCATTATAAAGTTCTCCTGAACAGGGAAACAAATGGAAAACCGGATTTGTAACAGGCGTCGTCCACAAATTGTGTTTGAAATGCATTTTGTAAACAATCCTACTATGTGTAGTCTGTTGTTTTTTTTCCTTTTAAAACACTTTCTATGCACAAAATTAGACCACTGGGCTGCAAGCCTTGCAGGATTTTGCCGTCTCCCACACTAGTCTTTGCAGAGGCAAGAATCGGGGCAAATGTAAACCATTGCTGATAATTCTATTGCTGATGTCAGCCCACTATTTAATGTTCTCCAGCATGCATAAGATTTATCACAGAGGAATTATGGAGTAATGGCAGAGTATAGAAACAGAGTCCACCAGGGAGATGTATTACATCATTTGGATTTAGCGCTACCATCTGCTTAATAGCGCTCAGATCACTACCAAGATACTTATGATCAGCCATTCATGGCAGTGACAGATGCTGCAGAGAGTTAACATGGCAGAGAATGAAGTTTGTTACTAAAACTCAGAAGATGTGACCGGCTTTCAGAAAGAGAAGGAATTTATTTCCCGGGAAATATCATTTTTATCCTGATTTCTTATCTGTCTCTTATAAGATATTAAGCAAACATGTTTTGGAATTATCAAGAGATATGCCATTTCGGCATGAGGTGGAGGAGAGGAAGAGCGGAGAGAAGGCTGGGAGGAAAAACTGAGAAAAATACAATGTGATCCTCAAGGGTTCTTGATGCTCTCTGAGCTTTGGAGATGTTTCATTAGCTTGGTTGTTTTCTTGCAGACATTTCATTACCCAATTAGGTAACATCATCAGTGTTGGAAGGGGTTGCCTTCTGTTTATATACAAGCAGCTTGCCCTGTCAGCTCTGGTGGGAGTGTTTGTGGCTCAACAACACTTGGCTGACCAACACGGTCAGGGCAAGACACTTGTTTATAAACAGAGAACAAACCTGACTCCCTTCTAGCAGTGATGATGGTAATTGGTTAGGTCAGAGGTCTCCAAACTTGGCAACTTATAAGACTTGTGAACTTCAACTCCCAGAATTTCTCAGTTGACTGGGAATTGAAGTCCACAAGTCTTAAAAGTTGCCAAGTTTGGGGACCCCCAGGTTAGGTAATGAAATGTCTGCAAGAAAACAAGATGAACGAGCACGAAGGACCCCACAATTCAACCCTGAGCTACAAATGTTCTTATCAATACCTCGAGGAATTTTTATGTTCCCATTATGTAGCGTACTTCCTAATTATGGATAGGTTTGCAACCACGTCTTTGAATGAGGCTGCCAGCTGATTCATGGAGTTTAGGGGTCAGTTAGATCCAAGGACAGTTGTGAATCAAAATTAAAAGAAAGGCACTTAAAATAAAGCTTTTGAACTTTACGTGCAAAGAATGCCCATTGCTTTTGGAATGCATGACCTCATTGTTCAAATCTCAAGGGTTTGTACACATTATTTTCATCATTTGTCCTTATTTTTCGGGGATTTTTCCCCCCCATTTCTTTTTACTGTTGTTACAGCCCAACTTCCCCTCCTCCTCCCAAAATCAAGTGGCTTGTTAGGACTTTGTGGCAGGAGTGCCTTGACTGAAATGCTTGAATTCTGATGATGTACTCAAGACACAGTGGAGGACTGAATGGAACTCCTGAGTCCAATAAGAAAGGAAACAGCAACAACTAAAAAGTGTATTGCCAAGAAACTCTTGTGCTTAGGGAAAGCGGTAGCGCCTCTTTCCAGAGGTTGAAACCACCCAAGCTGTACTTGCGATGCTCTGCAGTTATCAATCACAGGACAAATGATGCTGCATTGTTGCAAAGGCACGCAGCAACATTCCTCTTGGATCTTTTAGAGTGGATGTAATTGGATCATTCAAGTCTGAAGGCCTGCATTGATTGCATCTTGAAATGGTAGCATTGAGATTTCAAAAACTGTACTCAAAACAGACTTGCTAATGTCGGGCTTCCGTTTCTCTGAATTTTATGTGGATCAGCAGTACATTGCCAGTCGTACACAAATAAATATGTTTTAAACACTCCAGTGTATGCCGAGCTATTGTTGCTGGTAAAGGCAGCCATTTCCTTTCTATTGATGTATTGTAAATTTACAAGTTAGGAGTAAGTAGCCTTCCAACTCGGCAGCAAATGAAATAAAAATCTCACAACTGTATATATGTGTGTATGTATATAAAAACAAATTGTGTGTGTGTGTGTGTGTGTGTGTGTGTATCTGTGTGTGTATAAACACACACACACACACACAAAGATCTGGACTTAGATGTAGCACATTTGAGTTTAGGACTATCCCAACATGTCCTAATCCAACTTTTCTTTCTGTTGACCATCAGAAATACCCCTTTGACTCACAAATCTGAGAAAGAAGTTATTACTATATATGGTATTTATATATAAAGTTTATAAAGCCTTGGTAAGACCCCACCTAGAATACCGCATCCAGTTTTGGGCACCATATTATAAAAAGATGAGACTCCAGAAAGAGTACAGAGAAGAACAGCAAAGATAATTTGTAAGTGACTGGAGGATAAAATGTATGAAGAACAATTGCAGGAATTGGGTATGTCTACTCTAGTGAAAAGGACTAGGGGACTAGTTTTCCGATATTTAAGGAGCTCTTAC